CGCTGTATACATTACTTCAGGGGACATTACATTGACTTACATGCATTTCCTGGAGACTTATCCTAACCTTAACCATAACCATAACCAACACATGCCTAACCCTAAACCTTACCCTTACCCTTAGCCTTACCCTAACCCTAACCAAGTCTTCACCCTAAAATGAATGATTCCCCTCATGGGGGCCTCCATGTTGTCCCCATAAGGGAGGCGAGTCCCCACACGTGACTGTGTGAACAGATTTAGGTCCCCACAAGTATAGTAATGCACACACACAAACACACACACACGTTACGCCCCCACCCCATCAGCATGGTCCATTATGAAATAATCCGTGGCGCTGTGCAGTGATCTGTAAAGTGTTTTAATCTGTGACGCTCACCGGGAAGTAGAGCAGCAGCGAGCCGAACAGGATGGTCTCGAGGAGCAGGAGGCCGGAGGCCCGGATCCTCTGAGGGGACGAGGACATATAAACAATGTTAGAAAGTTATAAGGGCATAAAGGACAAAGAATAAAGGACTTTACAGGGGTATTGTCACGCTATAAAAGCCAACAAATCAGCAGAGGTGAGACAACTAGTTCCATATTCAGCCTGAGCAACGTGGCATTTCAACAGTGTAGACAGCTTAAAATAAAAGCACTACATTAAAAACTTAAATAGAAGTACAAAAGCGGCTGTGCTGGGATATTTGGAACAGAACTGGGAAAATCTGACGGATAAAACAATACGAGACGGAGAAAGGTATTCAATGATACTCCTCCCTACCCCCTACCCCCTAAAAGTGTTGCTACAGCTCCTGTCTCTTTAAGCCCTCTGCATGTGGAACAGGAAGGGCCGCCAAATCTGAGGCAGTTTGAATCCCACATCTTCACTTCAAAACCCAAATGTAGGCGCAAAAGCACGTTTTTCAAGATGTACTCCTTTTTAAAACAATAATAATAAGAGACGTTTCTGCTTCATCAACACATTCCTGACAGAATGTACTTTATCACAGCTCTCCTCTCAGGACGATGGCCCTGTGGAGCCAGAAGACGCCCTGCCTCACCCGGCTCCTGCGATGCCTGTAGGCCACCAGCATGCTGACGAAGATGAGGATCATGAAGACCCCCTGCAGGGTGAGCACGGCGCCCCGCAGCACCCCCCCCTCCTGCACCCAGCAGGGGGTCCCGTCCCGGCAGCTGCTGCACCCCGGCCAGCAGGGCAGGCACACGGGAAGGTCGGGGTAACACACACCTTCACTGCTGCTGTTCATAGAGCCGCCATCTGCACACACACACACACACACACACACACACACACACACACACACACACACACACACACACACACACACACACACACACACACACACACGCACACGCGCGCGCGGGACGACTCGGTTACATGTGACACCAAAGCCTC